GACTTCCCCCAACATAACAGTTAACGATAACCCCTCTGATTCTCACGGTTCTCTAACGTTCTGTCATTGCCTAATCCTCAACGGTTTGCAGAATCTCATCCCTGTATAAATATCAGGAGTTGGGAATATTATATCCCTGCATGGTTTATTTACAAGCACTTATGTAATAGTCTATCTATAGCATTGCTCGTGACATTTAAATCATCACTTGTGCATCAAGTATTACATGTATCATAGACATAGACAAGATGCATAACGAATGAATTCCCGTAAGAAATTCATATCATATGTATAGTCATATGTAGTATAGTTTGATCATAACATTACATGTAACATAAGAAAAGTAAACGTGCATTCATTCTTTCAGTTGCATTTATTCGTTTACAACATGCAGGATGTTCGAAATGCATTTGTATCAAATAGAAATCATATGAAAAACATATAGAAGATTATTTTTCTTAAATTAATACAAAATTATTTTACCTGACTTGATGAAATAACCCTATGACGAGTACCCAAACGTTCTCGAGCTTGTCGTAATGACAACCTGAGGCTAGTAAACAACATAGGATTTCATAAAATTTGGATCATAACATGCAGCAAAAGTCAAAACGAAAGGGTGAGGAAGGAAATGAAAGCCTAAAATGACGTGAGAGAATGATTCACACTTATAGAAATTGCCCTGAGCCTTGGATTGTGCTCTGCGGCTCCCAGGTGGATGCTTGTTTTGCCGCTAGCTCGCGGCCTTGCCACAGGGAGCCGAACGAAACTCCTCCAAGTGTCTTTTGCTGCTGGAAACCGAACAGGGAGAGTCAAACCGGAAGAGAGGGGAAGGAATCAGGAGAGGAGAAGGAAAATGCGAAGTTGTGGAGCCCTATTCAAACTAAATAAGGCGAAGGAATGTCCATTAGCTACAGTGCTCACGTGGCATTAGGGATTAGGGATTAATTAAGGCTTAAAAATTGTTTAATTAATTTAATTAAACTTATAACTTTAGAATTTTATCTCTCAAACCGTTCATAATTAACAACATATGGTGCTTTATATGGAATTGATCGATTTCATGCATAGAATTTAATAAAATTATTTCGACCGAATTCCGAGAAATATAAAATTTTGGATATTTTTCAAATTTGTCGAATTTTACCAAGTTTATTGAAATTTTGGGCATTACATTAATTGAAAACAAATGAAAAATCTGGCTGAACTGAGATATTGTAGGGAGCCCACAAGTTGACGGTTGAGTAAGGGGTTGAAAAATGATATGGTAGTGTCCGAGTGTGGAGTTGTCTTGCCCGGATGTGATGGTAGACGTGCCTTTCATCGAGCATGCCTGATTGTAGGATGGGTAAGCATATATTGAGATTGAGCTAGGTGAACCTTTCAATTCATGGAAGTCCCTTGGATTCCAAAGAAGTTGTTCACATTACAAAGATTTCGGATTTTGAATCATCGTGAAGTTGATATAATTGGGTTGAGATGGATTTGTTGCTTTCGATTAACAAAATATCATCAAGATACCCTTCTCTTCGTTGTAGGGGAGAAGGGAATGATAAGCTGTTCAAAATTAAAGTCAAGTTGTAGTAGGCATTCTGTCAAGGATGCAAACCACCGGCAAGGTGCCTGTTTGAGGTCATAAATAGCTTTCTCAAACAAGCAATCATGTAGTTTTTTCATATAATCCTTCTCTTGCAAGCGACATGGAGGAAAAAACATTGGATATGTCTGGTTGAGTGAGTTGTAAGTGTCTTTGGATGCTTACTATTTGTAGAATGTGGATAGTGGAAAAATTGGCTACGAATCTAAATTTGTCATTGTAGGCAATAGAATTCTTGCGACACTTGGTTAGGTTGGTCAAATTGCAATGAGTCGGGCTTTGTAACTTGTCTGAGTTATACTTGGTTCGGTAGGTCCAATTGCATCCTAATTCAGTCTGAGCTTTTTCTAGAGGTACTAGTATCCATGTCCCATGAGTTTGATGTGCTTTAAATTCTTTTGATATAGCCTTGCGCCAATGTAGGAATTTGATAGCTGTAGAGAAACATGTTGGAGCTACTGTGGGAGTTTGTTGATCAGACAAATGAAATATTTGTTTTGGCTTTAATTTTCTAGTTTTAAGTCATATAAGCAGTGGATGAGGAGTATGAGAAAAATGGTTCGATTAAGGAGTTGATTGGAGGATATTATTTCATGGAGAGGCTGGGTTGCTGTCGTGTGAAGTAGAGGATGAGGGTAGAATTGGAAGATGAGCGAGCTAATAGGTAGTGGTGCTAAATAGTTGAGGGATTTTGGTGAGGGAAGTGGTTTGTTAATTGGAGTGTTCTGGATATATGGAAAGGTTTGTTCATCAAAGGTGACATAGGTGGAGATGTCGGTTTCATGATTTTGTGTGTTAAAATATTTATAGTTTTTGGAAGTAGTGGCGTAGCTATGAGCACTTTCGTTATAGCTTTAGGATGAAGATTAGATAGTGAGCACAGTTGGAGCTTTGGGAAGCAGAGACAACCAAAGATTTTGTGGTGATCATAGGATGGTGGAGATTTGTATAGTAATTAATAGAAATAGATGTTGGTGTGATGGATGAGGGCATTCTATTGATGATGTAAACAATAAGGAGTAGAGTATTTACCTATAAATGAAATAGACCAGCATCGATCATAAAAGTATGAATTGTTTCAATTATATGTTGATGTTTACGTCCAACTACACCGTTTTTTCGAGTATCGAGACAACTGCGTTGATGGGTGACGCTCGAGCGAGTTAGAATGTCTTGGAGGGAACTGTTATAATACTTGTAAACACACCATTAGTTGAAAGTGTTTTTATTTTATGATTGAAGTAATTTTCAACACAATCTTTGAATTCTAGGAATAATTTTCAAGTATTTGAGCTTTATTGGAAAGAGCCAACTATAATTACAGAAGTCATCTATGAAAATAATATAATATTTGTAACTTTAAACTGACAAAGTTGGAGCATGACTCCAAACATCAGAATGACTTAGTTGTACGGGTGAATTGCTTTAGAAACTGGAGAAGGCAAACTTATGTAACGGCTTCTGGTCATTTGACATGAATTACATAGAGAAAGGAGTTTATAGTACATAAACTTGGAATTAGTTTAGCTAAAGCATGTTGAGTAGGTGATGATGGGTGATCGAGTCTTTTATACAAGAGAGTAGAAGCTTTGGATTTGGGGTTTTCGAGTCCTTTGTACAAGAGAGTGGAAGCTTTGGAGTTGGAGAGTATATGGATGACGTAGAGGATGATGTGTAGTTGCAGGCTGGATTGGATAGATGCTATTTTGACTACATTTAAGAAGAGTTTGTTGGGTCTTCAAGTCCTTGGCGGAGTATTGTATAACAATTATTCTTAGCGGTAAGCTTGTGAAAATAATGTAAATTGTAAGCTAAAGTAGGAATTATGAATAGCTTTGAGTTGTAGCTTACGATTTGGAATTGAGAGTAAACCTTGCCCAGTTGAAGTGATGGTTAGTGTTTGACCATTGCCAGTGATGATTTATTTGCTATGTTTGTATGGTTATGGATTATCTAGCTTGTTTAAACAATAGTGAGATGTGTTGATGCTCCGGAATCAAGTATCCAGTCAAGGTGACGATTTGAAGTTGCAGCTATCAAGGTTTTTTGAGGAGATAGTATGGTCCATTGTGCACCGATATTTTGATGCTGTGTTGCCAAACTTGAGGCGTTTGGCATTCTATGAAGCAACAGTAGATCGATTGATTCCTTCAAAAGATTGTTGGGAGAGATGCAAGTAAATTCATGGAAACAGATTCAAGAAATCCGAAACAGAACTTTGAACATAAGCACACAAAACAAAAAAGCTACAAAAAATACAAATAACACATGGATTTAAGGTAGAAAAGTCTCAGAATGGGAAAAAAATCACAGAGCTACACCACACCACAAAAGAAATCTATTTTGCAGAAAATGAAGAAGATAGTACAAATTACATCACACTTAAGCATCTCCAAATCTTGAAGCACTTGAGAATGCTCCTCTTATCTCCTTTACACAAGAGATCAAAATCACATACTCCCAAATCGGCAAAACTGAAACTTTAAATCAGAGAACGACTCAATCAATTATTGGTGGCATTGCGATGCTCCAATTGATTCTTCGATGCTGCATCCAAATACTGCAGTGTCATGCTCTCGGGTTTTGAAATGTGGATTGGGTGTTGCGGCGCTGCTGTCTTCGGTGCTCGAGCGCTATTGGTCTTATGCGGAGGAGCTAGGCACAAAAAAAATTTCGGGGGCAATGACCGGGAACCCAATACAGTGGGAACACCCCCCTTAACCCTAACAAACTCACCGTCAAGTTTGATTGGCAAAACTTTTGTCTTTGAGTGAACAATTGATTAACACAATCAGCCTCCACATAATAATAAAAATTGTATTGTTTGGCTTATGTTAGTGTTGAATGTGCCGTGGCAAGTGGAGGTGATTGAGTGACATCTCTTGCCTCATTCATTGGAGGAGAAGAGTGTTAGTTTGTGATCCGGTTGCTGAGTAAGAGAGTTCCCTTGTGCAGCTTCATTTGCCAAGTTGATTTCCTTGCTACATAGTAAGTAGAGGTCATCTGGACTAATGAATTAAATACTTGTGCAAATTACTGTTTTGAATGCTTGATATGATGTAAGAAGACCGGTTAGTGTTAAAAAAGTAGTATCTTCTGGGTCTAAGGTTGTACCGTCAGCAGCAATTGCATCTAATTTGACCTTGATATTGGCTAAGTATTCTGTCATGGTTTCGGTTTCTCTATTTATTGTATGTAACTCATTTTTTAAGGTGAATAACAACTGGTTAGTGAATTGCAGCCTTTCATTGATGTTATTACATATTTCATTGCATTTGTTGAGATCAAGGACATGGGGAAGAATAAATGGAGAGAAGAGAATTAATTCTCTGATACCATTAATTCTCCCTGATATTATCATTATAAATGTTTTCAGCTGCTTAATTTCATATCATCTTTGCAGACCATTCCCATGTCTTTTGCCATACAGTACCTTCCTCGATCAAGCCGGCGAGTTCTTCTTCAAGTTAAGGACAAGGAGAGCTCTTGGTCTGTTCATTGTCTTGTTCAGAGCCATTCAGTTGGGTTTTCTTCTGGATGGAAGGCATTCGTCCAGGACAACCAACTGAAGGTAGGGGATATATGTTTTTTTGAGCTGTTGGAAGCTGAGGAAGAAGACATACTGATGACTGTTCATATCAATAGGACTGAGGAGGCTTTGCCATTTTAGATTTGGTTTTGTACTAATTGCAGCATTTTTGTTTTTGTGAGACTGCAAATAATAGAGAGTGAAGGAGCATAGGTGTTTTGAAAACTTTCTGACCTGAGTAGAACTCTGATGTAGTGAGGTTTTGATCACTAATTATTTTGATTTTTGGGTTTATAATTATATTGAGGCTTTTTTTATATGTTCTGCTTCATTTATTTGTGCATGGATATGGATTTTTAATTTGCCTAAAAGAGAAGATTTTTCTTTTTTAGTTGATTTTTAATTGCTTGTTTTAGTAGGTAATCTGTTCCTCTAAGGCTGCAAAAGATAAGGAGGCAACTTAGATTTTTCTTTTTTAGTAGTAAGAAATGTTTTTGTAAGGTTTTAGTAAGGGCATTTACAAACATGCCACATAATTCTTATGTATTAACTTAGCTAACACCTAAGTATTTATATTAACATGCATTGCACCAAAAATATTATTATTTTTATTTAAAAGTGAAATATACATTATCATGCAAAGATTTATGGCACTACAGTGCAATAAATGTAAATATCAAATTTTAGTGCAATGAATGTGAATATCAAATTTTAGGTGTTGGTGTGATATTTATTTAAATTTCTCTATTTAGTTTAATTTTATAGTAGTATTAACATTGGATAAAATAGAACGAATCAATCGAAAGGTTGGTTTTTTATTTTGAGCTAAGCTCACTTGAAAATTTCTTGCTTGCAAGATTAGATGATAGTTGTATGCTAAACATATGTTAGCACAAATCTTGAAATTTTCTTGCTTGCAAGATTAGATGATAGGTTTACGCTAGACATATGTTAGCACAAATCTTGATTAGATCCTATGGACTAAAAGACAGGCATGGTAAAAAATGACCCACAAGTGAACTGTTGTGTACATTGATAGCCTCAACAGGTAAATTCCTTAGCTATCTCGTTACTCTGGTGGGATGCAAAGCTAATTCTGAGAAAGTGCAGGCATTACTGCACATGCGTTCCCCTCAAAATATCAAAGTAGTCCAAAGGTCGACCAGTCAAAGAGCATGACTTAACCGGTTCATCTCTGAAGACAGGTGACAAATTTACCCTATTTTCAAAATGGCCACGCAAGCGAAGAAGTTTGAATGGTTGGCCGACTGTGAACAGGCATTCACGAAGTTGAAGGATTCCATTGCTCTACCACCAATGCTACAAACTCTAATACCAAACAAAGATCTCTATTTGTACTTGGGAGTTGGAACTGAAGCCATCAATTCTGCACTGTTTTGTGAGGAGTTAGGGATACAATTATTAGTTTACTGCAGCAAGAGTCCTTCATGACGCCTAACTCAGTTACCCAATTATGGAGAAACAAACATTTGCTTTGATTATGTCAGCTTGTAGATTTCGACCATACTTTCAAATGCATCCCATCCGGGTAGTTACCGACCATCCATTGCAGTTTATCGTCACTCGGTAAAGCTGAGTGAGTTCAACATTACCTAGGTCTCTTAAACAGCTATCAAAGTGCAAGTAGTATCACACTTGTTGGCTAAATTTTTAGATCCATGCATGCTGAGCGAAGGAATTAGTGTTGAACGAATGACATGGATCTTGAACATTGACGGGGCCTCCTCTCAAATGGGGGCAAGAATTAGGTTGGCTCTACAAACCCAACTAGAGAGCAACTCCACTATTTAGTGATCATTGAGTTTGAGGTCACACCTGGCACAGGAAATGGGTGTCAGACACTTAGTCGCAGGTGAATAGGAAATTTGAAGCCAGATACTAGATAATGACAAGTACCTCAAAAAAGTCAAGGACAAAATATGGAAATTCATTGATTTCAAGATTGAGCACATTGATAAGGAGGATAACTAGGTGGCTGATCTCTTTCCAAGTGCATCTTCTTTGGGGAGGGAACACTTTAGAAACTATTCCAGACAACCAATGAAAAACTTGAAGCGATGGAGGTAGATATCGAAGTAGTAAGAAGCTAGATTGATCCTTAACATCAATTTTTAGAAGACTGGCAAAATAGTTGAGGAGGTCAATGATCTGAGGAGGTCAAGAGGAAGGATGCCTAATACTTACAGATTGAAGGGGAATTTTTTCGGGAATAGACTATTTCTCTTTAACTGAGGTGCATTAGAGAGAATGAAATAGAAGATCTCTTGTGGGAGATACATTTATGAAAGTGTGAGATTCACTTTAGAGGGAAAGCTCTAGCACATAGAATTCAATGGCAAGACCACTTCTTTTCAAAACTCCTAAAAGATGTAAAATAATTCTTAAATAGCTTCAAGCAATGCCAAAAGTATGCACCATTATAACCAACTGGCCCACATATAACAGTTGATCATCTGACCTTTACCTTTAACCGTCTAGTAGATTGATATCCTTGAGCTATCCCACCATCTAAGGGCCAAAGCAAGATCCTCCTAGTTGTGGTAGATTACTTATCTAAGTGGATTGAGGCAAAGCCACTCACCCACATAATAGTGGAGGTTGTTCGGAACTTCATCTGGATAGACCTTATTTACAGGTATGGATTGCTGCTCAACCTCATTATAGGCAATGAAACTTTATTTGCAGATGAGGGAGTGAAGGAATACTGCCAAAGTCAAGGGACCAGCTTGAATTTCATGTCATCACAACACCCAAGACTAACGGTCAAGCAGAAGCCGCCAAAATGATAATCTTGAACTTCCTAAAAAAGAAGGTTGAAGGCGCAAGGGGGAAGTGAGCTGATGCCCTACTATCCATCCTCTAGTCGACCAAAACAAAACAATCAACCAATACAAGATAAATGTCGTTTATGTTGCCACATGGGATGGAGGGTATGCTACCAGTGGAGTACAACCACCATAGCCAACATGTGGTAACGACTTCAGCTTTCAGTGAGGAACTATCTGACTGGTAGGAGTCAAATGATGAGGGAGCAACACTTGCACTAGTCTTGGCTGAAGAAATTTGAACCAACTCCACCCTCTGATAGGAAAATGTAAAAAGGGGCACCACGAGTTGCTATAATAAGCATGTCTAATAAAAAACCTTCATGCCCAGAGACCTTGTATTCAAGAACACTAACCTAGCCGCACACAGACAGTTGGTCAAAAAACACATCTAGACCTGGACCGACCCATTTATCATTGATCAAAGGGTCATCTTTGGTGTGTAAGTTAAGGACCCACACCATCCCTCAAACATACAACGGAGATGATTTTAAAAGCTTCTTCCTTTTGAAGAAGGATCAACAAATTAAAGTAAATATTTCATTTTTTTTATTAAAAAATCAAGAGTAACAGTTTTATTAAGAAGAAAATACTTTAACTTTTAGCCTAACTTAACCCCCTTACTAAGTAAATATTTTTTACAGGCGGTTTTCTGGCAAATTTTGATCATTGCTTTTGAATAACTCAATAAGTACATGGTAGCTATTGGTTGTTGTTGGTTTTGATTCCTGACAAGCAAACTATCTGAAATAACCGACGAAAAAAACTGTTGGTTAAGTGTAGCATTGTTTTTTTGATGCAGTAAGATCCGTAGGTTATGCATATGTCCGTCAGTATCGTAACCGAAGTGGTAGCCATCGATTATTTGCCAGTTTATATTGTAACAAATAAGAGTAGAGCGATGCAGTCTGAATGTATAGTGTGAAGCCATCGAAGCGTAAGATAAGTCACACATTATGTACCTACACAGTAAACTCAGGATAGTAGCGATCAAAATATTTTCACGCCTCGCCATATGCTAGATGACTCATTGAGTTGATTTTCCCTGATCTGCTATGATGATACGTCATATGTGGAGCAGTATGCATAGAAATGCATAGTCTCTAAAGACGTGAAATAAGTGGTTGATAAGAAAATCGCTTGAATGGACATTCTTTCTGTCTCTTAATTTTTCTATTCTAAGCTTTGAATCTAGGAGAATTACAAAATATGCACTGAGTCTCTGCCATGCTAGTCTTTTAATATAGCATACGTCCATTTACATATCAATTAATCTTCTTTGGTTTAAGCCCTAACTTGGAGACCATAATTTTCATACTGTATAAATCTTTAGGGCTAAATTTTCAAGTGGAGTTGTCTCTTTCAGTAATCTTGCAAAGTGATTGAAACACTCTCGAGACATTTAAACGCTATTTTAATTTTTAATATTTTAAGAGGTACATATAACTTAGAATGAGATGTGCAACCTTTATACTTTAGACTTTAAACAACATTGAGTTAATCATTAAATGCTTGAGTCTCTGGATTTAATGCCTTTCCCTAATGCACTTGACTTGGTAATGTTTTCTTGTCTCATCAAAGATCACTTTTTAAATTCTACTTGAATCAAATCTAGGTGGAGGAACATTGCTTGTCGAAGGAGTAGAGCTGAATATTGTAGGTTCAACCTTCTCATGTGAAGTCCAAATAGAGTAATCAGGCATAAAACCTAGACAGTATAAATCATATCTCACTTCATTAGGCATTAATTGTGCTCGATTTCCATGTTTCAAACATGGATACTTAAACCTATCCTCAGATAGATAAATTGGTTATACATATACAACTGCCACAAAGGCCTCGACACCATTCAAAATCCGCAATGCTTTCTTTTCTATCTGAATAAAATTGATTATACATCCACAACCTACTGCGCGAATATCCATAGATAACCTACAACATAACAGTAATCAACACATCATGTAGTGCAATCAATATTGATGATGTGTATTTTCTTATAAAGATTAGTGTACGATGATTTTGATAATCAAGTCAGCGGGGTGATAATATTTTAGCGATAGTAGTCGAAGAAGCATAAAACTAAGTATTTCTAAGATGAGAATGCGTAGGTGGATGAGTGGCTTTACACTTGGAGGCAAATTGCAAAACAAGTATCAGACAAGATTAGACAAACATAAATGCCTTATACTTTGTTCCAAGTGATCTAAAGCAATTTATTTAAAGTATTGTCTAAAATGTTGAAAAAAAAAGTGCATTATTATATTTTTTTAAGGCCAATATCATTCGTTTTCATTGGGATCTAGAATTCCTACAAAGCCCCTATGATTTTTTTCTTTTTGCAAAAAGAAAACACCTAAGTAATACTAAACATGAATTATTGACCTCTAATAGTAAAATAAAGACCAAATCTCAATAGGAGAGGCCTATTGGAGGGTGTAGCATCTTCAATGTCAAACCTGTC